TTGAGTTTGATTAGACCATAAGCCATTGTTCAAAACACCGGTATCAGTGATGGGAATATCGTTTGAGCATCCGGGCTTAAAGGACATGTTCGGTACCCCAAACGACTGTGAACTTATATCAGCAGTGGACAGCTCGGTTTCAATGTCTCGTGGAGCACCGCCATAATTAGACAACAAGTTTTGAAGATCTTTTGGAGAATCGTAACCTCTTGAAAGCAAAGGATCGGGTGTTAATTCATCAAGGTTAGGGGCAAATGGTAAATTACTTCTAGGTTGTTGTGAATGGACATCACCACCATCCATGTAGAAATTGGAGAGTGGAAAGTTCTGGTGGATGTTAACAGGATCAATATTGTACGATGTTCCGGAAGAAGCTTCCATCTGATCATTGATTGCCCCTTTGTGCTTTTGCTTCTCAGGTCCTTTTACGCCGTGTAATTCATGTTTATTCTGCATGTCAGGCTTACTTTGAAGCTCCTGCATCATGTTATTGGTGGTTTCAACTAACGAAGGCCCTCCAAATGCGTCTGGTTGATTTCTTTTCAAGGGGTTTGGAGGTGACGTCTGACAGTTATTAGTAGACGGCGAAGTGGAGCATGATGGGGCGTCTCCATCTGTAAAAGCGGAGGGAGGTCTAGTATTTGTCGGTGACTTTTGTGTATTCTGGGGATGGTTTGCGGGAAGTTGCTGCGAATGCATGAGAGGTGAAGAAGAGTAATTGCTGTTGAGAAGCTTCTCCATTGAAAACGCGTTGTTGCCAAGCTGTTGAGGTTGATGCTGAGAAATAGGCAGCTGCAGCAATTGCTGGTGAGTATTCTGTTGCTGCAGAAGCTGAGACTGCAAAAGCGGGGAAGACGTGGAAAGAGGTTGCTGCTGTTCTTGCTGTTGCTGTTGCAACTTCTGTAGCAGCTGCATCTGTGATTGTTGGTCCGAGATGTTTTGCGGCAAAATTTGAGATACTTGCGATTGTTGTGGTGCCCTTTGTAACATACTTTGTTGCAATAACTGTAATGAAGATTGTTGCAATTGAGTTTGTTGTTGCTGCTGCTGCCGCTGTAAGAGACTAGCTTGTTGCGAGTCTATCTGTTGCTGAAATTGCGAGTCTTGTGGTGAGGATGTCATTATCAATCCGTTCTTGCCAACGGACTGGAAATTTTGTTGCGTTGGGATACTTCCCGAGAGTAACTGCTGCTGAAGCTGAGAGTAGGTTACTGGTTGCTGCACACATTGGTTTGAAATCTGGTTAGAACCAACTGTGCCATTATTCATAGTCGCGTTTTGACACGGTTGTTGTTGTTGCTGTTGCTGTTGAGGCTGTTGTGCATTATGTTGATTTAGTTGAGGCTGTTGTTGCTGTGACTGCGGCAGATTTTGCGCTCCTGCCAGCTGCAGGTGCCTGTGCTGCTGTTGTTGCTGCAGCTGGTTTAACGGCGTTTGCAACAATGATTGCATCTTCTGCTGTTGCTGCTGCTGAGCCCACGAGGTCGGGGGCTGTTGCAATTGATTGACTTGGTTTGGTAAATTAGGTTTGTTAAATTGAAGACTTGGAGCAGAGAGTGCAGCAGGGGATTGAAAGTTCAATATCTTGGACGGATCATCAGTGTTAAGGTTACCGTTACTGTGAAGTGTGTTTGATGAAAGCATGGATGGAGGTAAAAGCGCTGACTGAGGACTAGAAAATTGATTATTATTATTATTCTGCTGCATGCTCATCCATTGTACTAAACTCAAACCAGGGAAGATTGAACTTGAGGCATCCTTCATGCCAAGATCATCTCCGAGCCAGGGCATAGCTCTCTTGAAAGCATTTTCTATTTCAGACTCGTCTTCTGAAAAATCAATCGAAACAAATTGTTGTCACTCCATAATGAGGAAACGGCTTATGAAGAATTTGTGAACAAAATTTGAACTAATTAAGGAGAAACTCTTTCTACCTGGCATTCCTGGTTGTTTGGGGAACTTCGGCCTAAAAAACGGAGGCGGGCAAATGTAGAAAGGAGTCACAACTGGTTCAATATCCCAAATTGAAACTCGGCTTGGACGCTCACCAGCTGTTGATTCATCCCATCCAACCTATCAAAATTTAAAACATGACGTCTCAGAAGCTAGTAGAGAGATTCAACATGGTCATCAGTTAAGCACATAGTATTGAGTGACTACACATAGACTACAACATATAGACTACAAAATACAAACACGGACACCGAACATGACACTAATCCTGACACATAGACATAAATAATAATTTGAGAACATGAAAGCGATTGAATCTATCCACAAGTGTCATAGTAATGAGTTGGACACTCAAGTACATCTTCAACAAGCATTAGTGCTACGTTATAGATTACAGTACAAGACACAACAACAATGTGTTTTAGAATTTTTTTCTTTAAAAAATGAAGTTAAGGACATGACATAAATAGTTTTGTTTCATGCCCTTGATTATACAAATACTGCAGCTCATTCTCGAGGAAACTAGAAACTTGATAATACCTGAAGATTGCGCCATTGTGAATTTTTCCATCGAACGGGATCCAAGTCACTAATCCCAGTGATTGTACCCATATATCTACGTACGCCTGAATCCTCAGTCTCAAACATCATTCTGAATCTCATTCCAAGGGAAACATGAGTGTACAAAGCTTTATTATACTTGGCCAATGGAATCACAAATTCGCACGGGCTGGTCCTGTTAAAATAAAATATGTCCGTATGTAAGAGGCCGACACAAAAACTTACCGATGTCATTCCGTGTTATCTTTGTATTAAATATATGCCAAACATTACCTTGGATTATAAAATATAGTAAATGGGCTGTTATTCGAAGCAGCATGAGCCGCGGCAGCAAGAATACCAATATGCATGCTGTCACTTGATATAACCGATGAAGATAGTGCTGGTTGCTGTCTACTGGATCTCTTTATACCTAAAAGAAGTTGTTGTTTTTCATCTCTACAAATAAGCAAAAAGTAATTGTTTATCAACAACATGAAAATTAATTAATTACTTCTGATGTTTCATTGAAAAAAAAAAGTCCGTTACCTGATAAAAAGAACAGAATCTCCAGCGAAGAGTCTTTTCGTGCTAACAAAGACACTCCAACCAGTAGTCAATAGATGCCTCTTTGGTTGTCCTGTGTCAAAAGCCAAACCAATTTTATAAAACCGATGAAAATATATTAACTAACGAAGGAAAACTGAAAAATGTAAAAGCCGCAATACCGCGATAAATATGTCTAAATGTCCATGTAGTGTCATGCAAATCTTTGGCCACTATTTCCTGAGCTGGCGGTTGCATTGAAAAGTCCTATCAAACACAATTTAGGTCAGCGTATAAGCATCGCATGAAACTTTCAATCCATGCCATAGTAAACGAAAAATGTTGTATACACACCAGAGGTGGGAATATTTTCTCGGCAGCTCGACGAGGCACTGAAAAACCACCATGAGTGCTAGTGTCACTAGCTGTTAGTGTTTTGCAAAAGAACTCCGAAGGTTGTTGGTTTTGTTTTAGACCCATGTCTGAAGCCAACATTGCTTCCTTGTCATACTGTAGGCGAAGTACAACGATAAGATATAAATTTATCGGTTTCGGGATCATTAATTGACCGAGAGGAAATAAATACAAATATCGACGGATTATCAGATTGAACGGCTGACCTACTTTATTTACAGGTTGAAGGGTCATCTGTGCGTAGACCTCATCGGTTTCAGGGTCAGCCTGATCCACAAATACAAAAGAATATGAGTATAAGTATTAAATAAAAGTTTGTTTTCGTAAGGTATCTTGAAGAGCTTATGGAAATAAGCTGAAAGCAGCTTATTGACATGAGAAAAGTAAACCTACATGAAGAGCAACATTGTGAAGCATGCAAATCAACTTGGATGGTAGATTAGGGTAACTTGGTATGAAATCTGCCTCCTTTTGCATGGATGCTGCAACCTAAAAATTATTGTAGTTAGAAGAAGAAAAAAAAAACGTATACAAACGAAAACAAACAGATACTATAACATTGAAAACGTACTTGCTCGCTGTGTCCTTGAGGAAAGTAAACAACGAGACTTCCGACAGGAGGTATAGAAACCAATGGCCCGGCACAAGCATGCCATAACTCTGAATTGATGGTCTTCCTTTCCCCACCTACGGTGACACAAATCAAGTTAAATTGTAGAGAAAGATACACATAGTAAACCATAAAACTCAACTTCTTAAATCGGTGTTTTCAATCATCGGCTACAGCATAGCAGAATTTAAACGAAATCGCTATTCTTCCACAATTACAATATTCAATACAAAGTATTCTCAAAAAGTGGTTATTGCAGCACAATAGCACTGTCTCGCAACCCGCTATTGTTTTAGATCTAACAACATTGGTTAAGATCTCAAATAGTACACATCATGGTTTAAGAGCACAAAAAACACGACTTGTTAACACGCACAAACAAATTTGGATGTCGTCCGAAATGAAGATGACTCGGGCGAACAAAAATTCACAAAGGTAATAGTTTCGTCTTGTAGAATGTTCACAATAGGATTATAAAGTAATCAAGGGGAGAAGTTTCTATCCAAAACCATGCTTCTATCTCGAAATCCTTATATAAATGATTTCTATTGAAGACTATCATGCAAAATCAATTTCCTTGAAAGAAATCACTGTCAGAGTCAGTCACCAAGAACTTTTAGAGTTGAATGAAAAAGAAAAAGAAAACTAGAAAACACAAAAGAAAGAGAACATAATGAGGTTGCAAATAAACCTTGAGAAAACACACCTTCACCAGAATTAGGCAAGTAACCATTAGAAGGAGCCTTCATTATAACCTAAAAATATGATGATAATGATGACAATAACTCTTCAAACAACTTCAACAAGATTTCACCTTGCTCCTCAAGTATTCACCAAATATCAAAATTTCAACTTCAACACATCCTCTAAAAATAGCACCAAAACCTCCTCAAAAACTCACAACTATATGAACAAGAACAATAACCCCCTTTAATCGTTACCACAAAGTTATCCAAACTTCATCTTTTTTCCAATAGAAAATGCCACAAACCCAAATAAAAGTTCCCAATTTCAAACATAAAAGCACCCACTTTCTGGTTTCAGAATCCAAAAACCAGAACTTTGCAACTACAGCAAGCGAAACTGAATGTACCCAAGTAACCAAAATCTGTATAACACAACCATTACAAACAATTACATCAAAAAGATTGTTTTTTTAAGAAAAAAAAACAAAACCCAACATTGAAAAAAAGACAAAAGGAAACACCTTTAAGGCAGCACCAAACCCATAAACACAAAAAACAGAAAGAGAAGAAGTAAGTAACCAAAAGAACAACAATGGGAGGGAAGTAGTTTTTGTGAGGATTAAGGTAGGAGCAGGTTGATGTCTGAAGGACCAAAGCTGACTTGTCGCCGGGAAATCAGAGAGAAGTGAACAAAAGAAAGACAACTTTTGATTATTTTTTAGTTTTATTTCCTTTGCTTTATGTGAGAAGCCGACATGGAAATATGAGACGAAGCAATCAATCACAGACCAAGCATGGTTAAAAACAATTCATTAAAGGTTTAGTCAATTACTTGCGCATAGTCATAAGATATAAATTTGTAGTAACTCGAACACGTGATATCTTATTTATTTATCTTTATATATTTATTAGATAATTTAATACCGATTTTTTCAATTTATTTTTATTTATATATTTTCTAAAAAGATCTATATTAATTTGTGAGGTCATTTAGTAATCCTAAAAACGTATGATGTTTTATGGTGAATTTCAGTCACTAAACTATAAGACGCATCTGAATATATTTAATTTTCTATTTTATTGTTTTTATGTTCAAGTTTAACTAAGATTAAGATGGATTAATTATGTAATTAGTTGATTTTGGTTTGAGATTGTTTTCATTTGATTTTGATTTGAATTATGGGTCCCAAAACCCATCTTATGATCCACTCATTTTGTGTTTTGTGGTTCTTTTCTTATAGCAAATTATCACGCATGATGTTGTTCATGATGTATTTTTGTTCAAGTTAATTAAATATTTTAACCAGTTATAATAGTTAAAATAACTATTTTTATACTGATGAAAAAAATTAGTTATATATAATTAGCTTTTTTGATTTTATAAAATTTATTATAATATTTTTAATTATATTTGATAAATTGACTATCAATATTAAATGTTTTTTATTTAAATTAAAGATATAATAATAACTCAAATATTAATCGGTCTAAAAATTAATAACTTTTAATGACTAAAATTTAAAGTTATTTTTTATTTATAACAGTGAGCGAAGGGAATATTAATATTAATTTGCACACAATTATTTATCATTAACTTTTTAACTCTTTAAAGTAATTTATTTAAGCATTTATTTAGTTCAGTAGTAGTAAAAATTGATTTTTAACTAATTGATTTTTTAAATGATTATGGTTGAAAATAGTTTTAAGTAAAGTGATTATGTTTAGAAAATTTGTTGCAAAAGTGAAGTGAGTTGAATGGTTAATTTTGATGTAAAAGTAATGTTTTGATCAAAAGCTATCAATTCTAAGATTAGTACATCAACACCAACATTGTTCTATTTAAATTTGTCTAATATACGAGAGTAATTGAGAATGAGAATCTAAAATTTTGATTTACTTATAGAAAGAAAAAAAAGGTGGGGGCGAACTTGCAAAGCCTTCTAACGAAAATTTTCAAAAAATTATTAATGAAATCAAAAAATTTAAATAAAGAGATAAATTAGATGGTGAAAAATTAAAATCTCAGATTTATTTTATTCCTCCTAATAAAACATAATTATATGTATAATCAATTTTGAAAAGATATAATTAATCGTAAAGGAGTGCAAATAAATAAGTTAAAATCAATTATGACTACGTGAAATCAAATGTATATTAAAATATTTTGAATTAAAATGTGATATTGAACTCAGAGGCTGTGATGTTTGGTTTCAATTCTAGAAGAAGGATAAAAGCGTTTTTATAGTGTGTTTATGTTAAAATATAATTGATTATGTCTCTAAAATTGATTATATTTAGAGTTGAAATTTATAGTTTTTGTCTTTAAAATTGATTTTGAGTAATTTTTATATTGAAATTTATTATTCAATTCACTTTTATATTGATTTTGGGTGATTTTGAAGGCTAATTCTGACATAAAGTGATTTCAACATCCTCTCGATTACAACTATAGAAAATTGAATTATAATATTTCCTACTAAATTCAACGCTAATCACCACTGAATCAACTAACTATTGATTTACTACTCAATTTTAATAAAATTTATTATATCTACCGTCAACTCAAACAAACACTACGATTAAATAATTTCAAAATTAAAACAATACTATAATTTTTGGTACAAAAACTAATGTATTTCTATATATGACCAAAGAGGACCAATCTATAGATAAAACATGAGTACTAGGATTGCCTTTTATTGCCATCCTAATGTTGGGTGGGGAAGTGAAATTGTGTGTGCTATGCTATGTGTTTGCTTGCAACAATGCTCTTAACTTGTTGACAAACATTGTTGGTATGAAATAAATGGATTAACCATTTTTGGTAAATAGTTCATAGATTCGCTACATCAATTGATAGCATAGTTTTGGTAATGTTTATTTATTTCTCCTATTATTTAATTTTAGTGGCGTGGTTAGCCACACTAGTATGTTTGAACTTTGAATGTGAACATTACTTGGGTCATGCAATTTTATTTTATTGCTACTATTTATTAACTTTATGGAGTTTTCTTTAATGATGTATTGCCCTGTTTTGGGGATTTTCCGGTGAGAATAGGACCCACTAGACCACAAAAAGGCCATTTATGAAACATGATTTCAATTATTCACTTGTTGATAATAATGTTTTTAAATTTTCATTATAATCATTAAGGGCATATCTTAAGAAACTAAAATTTTATATTAAAAAATTAATAATTCTAAAATTTTAAATAATTCAAATAACAGATTCTTAGTATTAGTAATTTATTTGTAATGATAATATTAAGAACCTATAGTATTAGTTATTTATTTTTAATGATAATAATAATAGCTAATTGTAGAATATGTCTTCATTAAATTAGACAAATATGTGAGTTATATATAAAAAAATAATTGTATTATATGATATGTGAAGTACTAGTATGTATTAATCTTTTAGAGGAAAGGTAGAATATCAAATATAGTTTTCCCCTTTTATATATATCTTCTAATATTATAATTGTTGTATGTATTAATCTTTTATAGGAAACGTAGAATATCAAATATACTTTTCCCCTTTTATATATATCTTCTAATATTATAATTGTTGTATGTGTTAATCTTTTATAGGAAAGGTAGAATATCAAATATACTTTTCCCCCTTTATATATATCTTCTAATATTATAATTGTATTTCTTCTTTCAAAATGAAATTGAAAATATGTTTCATATTTTAAACCAAAAGAACAACATGTTACACCTTTCATCATGTTATTAATAATTAGTATTTGATTCTTGACCTATAAAAAGTATCAAAAAGAAAAAGAAAGGAGATTTTTTTAATACACGCTAGGACAGCCACTAGCCGCAAAAGCAGGAAATCTCACATGTCAAAGGTTTGGTTCTTTCAATATATACGTATAAGGGTAACTATGGATTAGACCATCCAATCCAATGAAAGATCTATTTTACAAATACAGTACTATATATATATATATATATATATATTCCGTTCAAGAACAATAAATATATGTATTTTGATGAAAAGGATGTCTTGATTTAGTGGTGGTGATCTTTGTCATTGCGACGCGAAGTGGATTTGCATGAATAGTATTAGTGTAGAAGGAAGAGATAAAAGGCAAAAGAAATATATTTACTGATAATTTCAAAATAAAGATTTACAATGAATTACAATAATTTATTTCACTAGGCTATTTATACACAAAATTATATCTTATAACAAAGATATAAAAAGATATAATAATATCCTCTAAAAATATATTCTTAAATATAAATCAATATCTAAAATATAAATTAAATCTAGCATCATCCCTTAATTTATATTTATCCAAAATTGACAACACTAATTTCATCCCTCAAACGAAGAAATTGATCAGTCTTGATAGTCTTTGTTAGAACATCTGTCAGCTGCTTCTGGGTGCTACAGTGCACAACTTCTAATATTCTGCTTTGAACTTGATTCCTCAGAAAGTGATATTTGATCTCAATATGCTTGCTTCTCCCATGCAGCATTGGGTTCTTTGCAAGATTGATTGCAGACTTGTTATCAATCATCAGCTTTAGAGGTTTGTCTACTTTAATCTTCAGATCTTGCAGCAAGTTTAGAATCCGCACAGCTTGACATGCAGTCAGAGCACCTGCAATATATTCAGCTTCATAGGTTGACAGCGCAACAACAATTTGCTTCTTAGAACACCAAGAAATATGACTTCCCAGAAATTTGAATAAGTATCCAAAAGTACTTCTTCTGTCCACTCTATCTCCGCACCAATCAGAGTCTGAATAACTCACAAGTTCTGATTCGAACTTTCTTCCAGATGGAAATAGCACTCCATACTTCAGAGTTCCCTTTACATACCTCAGAATCCTGACAGCAGCTTGGTAATGAGACCACTTTGGTTTACTCATAAATCTGCTAACTATTCCAACTGCATAGCAAATATCAGGTCTGATATTACACAAATACCTCAGAGAACCAACCGACTGTTTGAAGGTTGTAGCACCCACATCCTCTCCATCAGAGTCAGAGTCCAACTTTTGATTCGTATCAACAGGTATGATAGCAACTTTGCAATTTTCTAGCTCAAATCTTTTCAGAAACTCGAGTTCATACTTCATCTGATACAAAATAATTCCTTTCTCAGAGTATATAAATTCCACCCCGAGAAAGAAACTCATTTTCTAAGATCTGTCATCTCAAACGCATTCATCAGAACTTTCTTGAACTCAGCTATCTCTTGTTCAAAACTTCCTATGAGTAATATGTCATCAACATACAAACAGACCAGAATCATATTACATTCTGAAGTATGTTGAACATAAACATCATACTCCATCTCACACTTCTGAAAACATTTTTCCTTGAAAAAAGAATCAATCTTCAAATTCCAAGCTCTGGGCGCTTGCTTCAATCCATACAAGGCTTTGTGTAATTTGAACACCATCCCTTCCTAATTATTTTTCTCAAATCCAGGAGGTTGTGATACGTATACCTCTTCTTGTAATGGACGATTCAGAAATGCAGATTTTACATCTAAACGAATCAGAGGCCAATTCCTGTTAGCAGCTGTGATACGGTGGCAGAACCCACTGTTTAATACTGGTTTTTGAATTTTGTATTTGTAAATATTATGGTAAGTAAGAGTCGCCACCGACTTTTCTTTTATCCAAATTAAGGAAAGGGTGAAAAGAACAAAAAAATACCTTTTCGAGATTTTCTGAGTAAGGGAGGTAGATTATGGAAAGGGGAGGTGTTAGCACCCTTTCCATCCGTAGTTATCTACAGGCTCTTAGAGGTTTTCTCATTTTTAAATAGCTTTGTGCTTTGTGTGTTTGAAAATATTTTGAAATGCCTCAGT